TAGCGCAGGTGGTGCAGGTGGCAGCGGAGGTGGAGGATTCGACTCCATGGATGAGGATGATGAGGACTAGCCGTGTTGGGCTAGTTCCCGAGCCAATGAGGACATTGTCTTATTCTAGCTTGGGGGAGATTTTGGATTTGGTATTTTTCTTTTTCTCTTCTCTTTTGTTTTTGGTGTGTTTTCTTAGTTTATATTTATTGCTTTCTAGGTTAGTTTTATTTCTTTTTTATATAAAAAATACAAAAAATTGAAAAAATAAAAAAAATCCAAAAATACGTTCCAATGAATTGTAAATCATGCTTCCTTGTGCCCCATCATTTGGAAAATATTGTTTTGATTCTTGGTATATGATGATAAGCATTGTGGATTCGTTGATCATGATTTGAAGTTTGATTGCTTAGATGTCCTAACATGCGTCAATTTTGCCCAACTGCTCGTGAACATAGTGCTTGACTAGTTGATTTAGTTAGGAATGTGTGATGGTTCCTGGTATGTTAATGAATTTGAGTATTGGTTTGTAACTATAAGTAATGTTTATATGAATCATTATTATGCACATTGTGGAGGACGAATGCATTTGTTCTTTTAGGTAGCCTCCAGATGATTTTAGATACATTTGTTCCCTTCTTGCTACTCATGTTGTTGCCTTGACTTTTTGTTGTTTATTAGCCACATTACAAGCCTATTTTGCCTCATTGGTTACTAGTCCCAAGATTGTCTTGGATTTTAGTGAGTGAGGCGAGGGAGTTTGTGGTGTGCTTATTATTTGCACAATTTGGGTGGGTTTTGAGAAGTTATTTTGCTCTTGAGCATAGTTTATTTTTTATGACTTTGAAAGTTTAATCTTCTTGAAAAAATAAAGTATGATGTTATGAAAAAAAAGAGAAGTTCAAAGAAAAAAAAAGTGAAAAAAAGTGATTGAACTTAAAAAAAAAAAAAAAAAAAAAAGAGCAAAAAAGGAAAAAAATTGTTCAATGTTCAAATGTTCTAGTTGGAGGTTAATCAAAGGAAAGAAAAAAAATTCAGTTTCAATGAAAAATTCAAGTTTGGAAAATAAAGTTTGTTTATTCATTCCAGTTCTTCATTATTATATCTTATGAGTGAAATTTGGGACTGTTGTTTATGATTGGAGTTGTATTTGGTGGATTTTTATTGGAGTTTGTTATGTTGGAGATGTTGATCATTATTTATTTTGATCATGGTTTTATTAGGATTTTCTCCCTTAAGCATAGCTTTTCTCTCAATTATTCCCAAATGTTTCCTAACCTTTACCCTAGCCTTACATTACAAGCTTTAAAGACCTTCCGACCTTTGTGCATAGAGTTGTATGAATGTGAAAGTGTTGTTTACAATGCAAGTTATGATTTGACATATTTCGAGTCGACTAGTAGGTTGAGTGTACATCTTTTTTAACACACGAGAGTGTGAGTTGGGAGGGCATTGTTTCACATTAAAGGGGTTGGTTGGAGAGCGATCGAGTACATCTTTTACTCGCCACATAAATGAGAGTTGAGTGTGTGAGCACTAGTCTTGAATTCTATATGCTCTTGTGGTTTTCTCTAATTGACAATTGTTAGGGAGGAAGAGTAATTTGATGGATGAGATTGGTTGATGTTAAAGCATGTTTATTAGATTTACCTTGAATTGTTTGTGCTTGATTTTTACTTTTTGGGGTGAAGCATATTTATTTATTCATTGATGAGATCTTTTCTTAGGGACAAGCAAAGGTTTGGCTTGGGGGAGTTTGATATGTACATTTTATAGAGTATTTTACCCCCGTCCCTTGGTCATAATTAGTAGTTTTTTTGGCTCTTTAGATCCACTTTTATTACTAATTGGTGTATTCTAGTGTTTTCGTAGATTTGGTTGACTTTTGTAGGGATTTGCACTTTTGGAGCATCTTCCCGGGATTTTATGGAGTATCTACGAGCATTGGAGATGCACGACCATCCTTCATAGCCCAGGGCCATTTAGAGCCATCGAACCGGTGATTAAGGGCTCGGTATATGTGATACCGGGGCATTTGGACCGAGTATTCAAGACCCGAAGAGGAAATCCGGATTGGCCCGAAGAATTGGAGCCCAATCGAAGTCCAAAGAGTGGCCCAAGAGTGCCGCCCGACCAAAGGAGCTCCCGCCCAAAGGCGCGCCTGGCCGGGCGGGGGAAGCAAAGCCGGTGCCCAAACTCGCATCCGGCCGGGCGCGAGAGACTTACCTGAGAGTAAAAAAGGCGGGCCCGATCGGGCGGTGCCTCGCTCGATCGGGCACGTGTCAGCTTTAGGAGACGATTAGCGTCGTTTAAGTTTGTTTTAGTTTAGGATTCTTACTTAATATAAATACTTATCCGTTAAGCGAGTTTAGTATCTTCTTTTACTCTTTCTTAATTCTTCTCTTAGACTTTCTCTCTCTACTTAGAATATTTTCTCTCTAAAAAATTCTCTCAACTTTGTTCTTAATTCAACTCCTTAATTCAGATTACTTTTGGTAACAATTTTCTTCTCTATTAATTTCAGTTATTTTCTTTAATTCTTTCATCATGTCTTATTTTATTGCTTTGATTAGTTTAGATTTAATTATGTGTGAGTAGTTTTATTTCTAGGGTTTATGGGGATCCAATAAATAATATGAAGGGGTAATTTGTGATTGTTGATTGTCAATGCTTAATTATTTTCCTATTGATTGATTTAATGCTTTGCAATTAGGTTTGTCCAGATTTAATGGTATGAGTTTAGCAATATTGATTCGAGATTCGAGAGACGAGAATTGACTTATAGGCTTAGTTTCAATAGGCGGACTAATTTATAAATGGTTAAGTCGAGATTCGAGACATGAGATTTAATACCGGTAAATTCACTACGTGAAAAAATAAAATTGGCACCGGTTCAAACCCGGCCTAAGGCACCGGTTTGAACCGGTGCCAATGTGGGGGGTGTCAATTACCCCCCTTTTTGGTACCGGTTCAAAACCGGTGCTATAAACAGGTTTTGGCACCGGTTAACCGGTGCCAAAAATACTCAAAAAAAAAAAAAATTATCCTCCTTTTGGCACCGGTTAACCGATGCCAAAAATGTCCAATTTTTTTTTTATTTTTTATTTTTTTTACTTACCAATTAAATCAATCAACTGAAAAAAATAACAATCACAACAAAAATCGAATTGGGTTCAATATATATAATCCAAAATTTACAATACATAATCAAATCCCAAATTACAATATAGATCAATTACAACTAACATATAAATAAATAAAAAAAATTACATTATAAATCATACAAAAAAATAATAATATACTAGTAAATCAAAAATAAAATTACAATATGAACATATCAATATTCTTTCATAATCTGTACCTGCACTAATTAAAACAGAAAAAAAATCAATTGGTAAAAATAAGCTTAAGAATAAATAAAAAAAACCCAGAAATTCAAGTCGAAATAAAAATCGAAATTAAAGTTTGAACCAGAAATTCAAGTTTGAACCAAAGAAAACCTAGAAATTCAAGTTTGAACCAAGAAAATTAAGTTTGAAGCAAGGAAAAAAAAACTCAGAAATTAAAATCGAAATTAAAAAAATTATCAAAAATGAAAAAAAAAAACCAAAATTGAAATCGAAAAAAAGAACCAAAAATTCGAAAAAAACAAAATCAAAATCGGAAAAAAAAAACCAATTAAAATGAAACCCCAAAAACCAAAATGAAAAACAAATTCCCAGAAATCGAAAACAAAAACCAAAATCAAAAATCAAAATCAATATTGAAAACTAATAAACCAAAATCAAAAACAAAATCCTATAAATCGAAAAAAAAAACAAAATCAAAATTGAAACCTAGAAAACCAAAATCGAAAAAAAAATCCCACAAATCGAAAAAAAAAACAAAATCGAAAATAAAAGGAAAAATCGAAAAAAAAACCAAATACGAAAAACAAAACCAAAATCGAAATTGGTGAATCGAAAATAAAAACAATTAAAATCGAAAAAAAAATCCAGAACTTGAACTTTGTGGGATTTTGTGGTGGTGGCGGCGGCTGTTGTTGTTGGTGCTCGAACTTTGTGGTGGCAGCGGCGGCTATTGTTGCTCTATTTCAAGATTTGGTTGCTGCAGATCTAAGGGGAGTGGAGATCGAAGGGAGAATATGAGAGAGAGGAGATCGATGGAGATGAAAGAATAAAGAAGAACGAAGAAAGAGAGAGAGAGGAGATCGATGGAGATGAAAGAAGAAAGAAGAACGAAGAGAGAGAGAGGAGAGAGAAGGAGAGAAGAGGAAATGGGGGAATGGAGGCGGATAGAACTTAAGGTTTAATGCTCCGTTTTTTTTAAAAGGATGGACCGGTTTAGTGGCACCGGTTCATATCGAACCGGTGCCAAAGGTTCAAACCGGTACCCTTTGTATTTTTTTGGCACCGGTTCGATATGAACCGGTGCCATTACTCTTGGTCTAAAATCCCGCCCATTTTTAGGGCGGTTTTTGGCACCGGTTTGGTCTGAACCGGTGCCATTTGGGGGTTGCCTTTTTGTATTTTTCTACTAGTGATTAACTCTATGATTGTAATACGTAGCGAAAGCCCTTTATGATCCGATTTATTGATGCATTGATGATTGTTTGTTATGTTTTACCCTAGAATATTGTTTATTGGTGAACCAATGCCCTAGGCTTTTCATTCATTGATTTACCTCTTACTTTTATTCCTTCCTACTCTTACTTTTAGTAGTTTAATTACCCTTTTTATAATAATTTGGTTACTTGATAATTTAGATTGATTTTGATTAATTAGGAATATATTGACTTGTTTCCCTGTGGTTCGACCCTTCTTCCCTATCTACATAGTTTGTGGATTTAGGTCTTATTTTTGATTGGGTGAATACGACTTGAGCCTTTCAGGGCTCCTCCTCATAAGGGCTACCACAAGTTAAACACAGATGGTTCTTGGATAAATGTTGATAATGCAGGAGGTGGTGATGTGATCAGATGTGAAAAAGGTCTCTAGATTATTGGTTTTGCAATGAAATTCAATGCTCTAACAACAGCTTCAGCAGAGTTATTGGCTATAAGAGAAGGCTTATTGACAGCTTGGGACAAGAAAATTAAGTTCCTTGAACTTGAAACTGATGTTGATGCCTTAACAAAGATGCTGAAGGGCCCTAAGTTGTATGAAGACAGTGACCTGGGTAATGTGATAAGAGATGTTGATTCTCTTCTGCAGAGGGATTGGACAGTAACCATCTTTCATGCAAGCAGAGAAGTAAACTTTGTGGCTGACAAACTTGCTACTATGGGAAGAACTGAGATCAAAGTGGGAGAAAGAATTCCTTTCAGCTACCCTCCTGCTGAAATTTTTCATATTTATGCATTTGAAATTCCAGAGTTCACCCAGCCTAATCTTTGCAGCTATGTCCCTGGCAACAAATTTTGCTTCCTTATTGTTGCTTCTACTTAGACCATCTTTAGTTTGCTTTGATAACTTTATTAATGCTTTAGGTTGTACATTCTTTCGAATAGCTTTGAGTTGTATGTGTTTGCACTCAGACTATATCTTTTGTTCAGGTAACTATGAGAAGTTGCAAAGCTCTCTAAGTATCGTGTATGCTTTTATGATTTTAATCATCAGCATTTCTATCCTGTGATATAATATTATGATCCTATTTGCGTTAAAAAAAAGGTAGTGTTTTTCAAATATTAAAATTTTTAGTGTTACTATATTTATTTTGTTCTCTCATTTTTTAAACACGGGGAAAAACACAATTAGAACCTATAATATGAAACTGTAATATGGGATCGAGAGAGTAGGTGTTATTCCCCAAGAGTTATTCCAATTACTAGACCATTCAATTAAGATTTGTACGAACTACTTTGTGTTAAAAAAAGTGAAATAAAAATTGTATGAACTACGAAGCAATCTCAAATAGTGAGTAAGACCATATTATTAACAGAAATTCTTGGCCTCAAGTAGGTAGAGTCCAAGTTGGTCTTTAGTAAGGTCATTTTAGTAATTTAACAAAAAAAAAACCTTACCTGTAAGTACCAACGAGATATATAGCCAATATCATTTTTAGTAGTATCGAAATACCATCCTACAACATGTTGGTATCATCATAGTATTGCGGTTGGTATCTGTAGGGAATATTTCAAGCATTACCCCTAGCTTGAACCCCACTGTGATCATACACTAAAGTACGGTGGCGTCCAAAGGGAAAGAAGATAGAGAAAAAGAGTCACCAACAAGTTTTAGGAACTTGTAAACCGTTCACGAGGTGAAGGTTACACCCCTTAACGATCCAGGAGATCGTTAACTCCAATAGGTCTGGAACCATGACTGGTAGTTCGGGAATGAAGGTACAAATCCAACCTAAAAGAGATTGAACTTGCCCTAATAATAGGCCTCTACTTTATTCTGATCGTATTCATGTGCACTTTCTGACTAACATGCAATCAATAGGTTTACCCCTAAACCTGTTTATCTATGTTGGTTGAACATTAATGCACAAATAAACTATTATTGGCGATCACTTGAATTATATTCAAATTAACCCTAAACATGATTATTAATTATCTTATTAAGCGTTATTACAAGTACCAATTCCCTTTAAACATGCATAAAAGGTGTGATCAAGCAATAACAATAAATATCAAGCAACATAATCATAATCAAAATAATCAAAATCATAATAATAATCATCATAATAATGTTAAAGCATAATAATAGCAAGATCCTAGACATGATACTAACAAGATTAATAACAAACTCTAGCATGTCACTAAAATTACAAATCAAAGCTTTAACCCTAACATGATACTAACATGAATATTAGGAAATAACATAGGAAGCATCATAGAAATCATAATTGATATTAAAGTTACCCTAAACATGATACTAGGATGATCAAAACGCCCTAACATGATATTAGGAATCGTAATAACAACCTAAACATGATTTCTACGAACTATAAAATCAATAAATCAATCAAAGCACTTACTTAGATGCCTCGTATCTCTTTCTAATAACAAAATACACGCGTTAGTAACTTCAAGGAAAATAATAATCAAAAAAAATTAAATTAAATAATTGAAAGAGAGATTTGGGACCAAACCCTTAGAAATTAAAATCTTTCACATCTAGGGCGAAGACAACTTCGAACTTGGCTAGGTGTGTCTAGTGCTAAAGTATGAGGAATTGTGTTTGTAAAAGGGTTGGTTTAGAAAGAGGGAGAGAATCAATAAATTCTTGATGAGAGTTGGTGAGAAGGATTGATGAGAATTGATGATTTAAAAAGGGGATATATGACCTCTATTTGTAGAGAAAAAAGAGGGTCAAAGAATAAGAAGAGAATCCGAATTCGAATCGAAATAGAACTCGATGGACAGTAGTTTTTGCAGATTTTGTTTTTATCATATATTTTGATCTAGAAGTCCAAATAAGGAATATAATATGTCGTTGGAAATCTCTTGAAGTCTTCTTTCCAACACAATTAGAATCAAATTAAAATCTTTTTTATATAAAAATATATGGCCGAAATAGTGGGACGGTATCAGTTTTGGATAGAGTTACATATCTCATTCATATCTTTTTCTTCATAGCTCGGATTTAGTATTATAATATATCATTGGAAAGATAATTTCAAGATCTATCCAACCATATAAAATTTGGATAAATAATAAAAGACACGAAAATAAAATCTGACTGTCTTTGAACATCTTTAAATTCGAATAGAATTAGGATTTTTAAAAAAGGAAAGTTTTTATTTAACTCAAATTCTTTAATCTTATCTTTTCAAAAAGGATAATTAAGATCTTTTAAAAACTTATGGAAGTTTCTAATTAATCCTAATTAGTTTAGGAATAGGATTAAACCTTCGGACCCTCCACGTGATCGTTGGGTCGTAGGTAAAATCCGGTTTGGCCCAGTTTAGTATTTTGGCCATAACTTACTCATTATTCATCGGAATTGGGCTTATAATATATCATTGGAAAGGTCTTTTCAAACCCCATCCAACTACACTATTATTGGACCCATATCATGGACCAAACTAAACTGGAATGCACATTTTTAAAAAATAGGGTAAGAAAAGATATATTTTCAAAAACAGAAAGAAGTGATATTTTAATAAAAACATCTTCATCACTAGACTTTTCATACTTTCGCTTAATTCGATAATCAAATGACGCGAAAGGTATTCATCACTGGGTTTGGTTTTGGGGAGACACATTTGGGTGTCTACAGTATCATAAATTAACAATATTGTTGTTGGTATGAGTAGTATTATAGTTGGTATCCTAGACTTTGTTGGTATCTAGCTGCGTTCGATTGATATCAGAGCCATAGGGTTAAAAGCTAAACTAAGTTGTTAATTTAAATAATAATTAAGCAAAACTGGAGAATACTTGGCACTCTACTGAGTGTAAGAAACCTGATTTTAAGCATTATTATCATATTCCTGAAAATAATAGTACTTTTGGCCCAATCCTTAATTATATAGTAGATCAAATTGGTGAATTAAAATCGGAAGTTGATAACATACATGTTCGTTGTACTAATATCGAAAATAAGATATCAATAAACATAACCAATATTAATAAAAAAAGTAAGCGATCTAAGCGAACAGGTTAAACAAGTTCAACTTGCTTTAACAAATGAAGTTAGACATCAATTTGGAAAAGAAGTATCACATAATAAAGAGAAAATCGTTCCATATTGTAGGGAATATTTCCAGCATTACCCCTAGCTTGAACCCCACTGTGATCATACACTAAAGTAACGGTGACGTCCAAAGGGAAAGAAGATAGAGCAAAATAGTCACCAACAAGTTTTTTTAGGAACTTGTAAACCGTTCACGAGGTGAAGGTTACACCCCTTAACGATCCAATAGATTGTTAACTCCAATAGGTCTTGAACCATGATTGGTAGTTCGGGGATGAAGGTACAAATCCAACCTAAAAGAGATTGAACCTGCCCTAATAATAGGCCTCTACTTTATTCTGATCGTATTCATGTGTGCTTTCTGACTAACATGCAATCAATAGGTTTAACCCTAAACCTGTTTATCTATATTGGTTGAATATTAATGCACAAATAAATCTATTATTGGCGATCACTTGAATTATAATCAAATTAAACTAAACAAGATTATTAATTATCTTATTAACCGTGATTACAAGTACCAATTCCCTTTAAACATGCATAAAAGGCGTGATCAAGCAATAACAATAAATAATATCAAGCAACATAATAATAATCATAAAAATAATCATAATCATGTTAAAGCATAATAATAGCAAGATCCTAGGCATGATACTAACAAGATTAATAACAAACCCTAGCATGTCACTAAACAATAAAGATCAAAGCTTTAGCCCTAACATGATACTAACAATCATAAATATTAGGAAGAATATAGGAAGCATCATACTTTTAATCATACTTGGTATTAAAGTTACCCTAGACATGATACTAGGAAGATCAAAATACCCTAACATAACATTAGGAATCATAATAACAACCTAAGCATGATTTCTACATAATAACATCAATAAAAACCATTAAAGTACTTACTTGGATGCCTCGTACCTCTTTCTTTCATGTCTAGGGCGAAGGCAACTTCGAATATGGCTAGGTGTATCTAGATCTTGCGAATGCGGAATTTTGTATTTAAGAAAAGGCTAGTTTAGAAAAGAGAGAGAGAGAGAGTAATCAAGAAAATCTTGATGAGAGTTGGTAAATGAAGAGAATTGGTGAATGAAAACGGAGTTTTTAGAAGGCTATTTATAGAGAAAATCAGCCAAAAAGATAAAAAAAATCAAAACAGAGTTCTGACGCGTAAAACCAAGGTTAGCGCCAGACGTTGACATTAGCGCTAGGCGCTAGCGCCAGGCGCCAAGCTTAGCGTCAGGCACTAATGCTGGCGTTTGGCGCTGACCAAAATATTGACGCGTTTTCTAAAATCAGATAGAAATTGCCGTACAGGAGGATAAAATCGTATTTTCCTCAAAAACATTCTTTTATTCTGATTAAAACTCTAAAAAGTCAACAAAAGTCAATTTATCAATGCTAATTGAATTAGGAATGAAAAAAACCTTCTAGAAAAATCTTGAAGACTAAAACCATTCCTAATTGCATTAGGAATGATAAACCCATATTAGGCCCTCCTCTAGATCATTGGGCCGCATATAAGGCTCAAACCGGGCCCAGTTCAGTAATTTGGCCATAACTTCCTCAATATTCATCGGAATTGGGCTTATAATATATCGTCGGAAAGGTCTTTTCAAACCCTATCCAACTACACTACTATTGGACACATATCATGGACCAACCAAAATGGATTGACTTTTTTCTTAAAATAGGTTTTCAAAAACAGAGAGAAGAAAAGAAATTAAAACTATCCGCAACACTAAACTTTCCACACTTTTACTTCATTCGATTATGATTCGACGTGAAAGATACTC